CTCTCTGTCTCTCTCCTCTGTCTCTCTCTCTTCTTCCCCTCTCTCCCCTCTCTCTCTCTCTCCTCATCTCCTCTCTCTCTCTCTCTCTCTCTCTCTCTCTCTCTCTCTCCTCCCCTCTCTCCCTCCTCTCTCTCTCCTCTCTCTCTCTCTCTCTCAAATGCAGGGGGAGGGTGTCCCAGGAAAATGTATACACACATTATCAGCTCATAACTCTGTAATGAGTTTTCTTTTTCAGGTAAAAATTGGCCTTAGATATGAATAATGAACAGACTTACATTTGAACAAGAGAAATTTGGATTTCGGTGGTACTGGAAATGTGAAAAACATAAATGGAGTGCATGGACAGTGGAGTGAATTAATGGGAATGGAGGACAAGTGTATATAATTTTTGGGACACCCTGTATTTTAGAACTAAAAAAAATTTGAGCAAAATATTGCCAGAGAAGCCAAAATTAAAGACGGATGTAGCAGCTAAAATTGTATGTGGCAGTGTTTGTACGCTTATGTTGATCCTGGATCCTTGTTAATGGTAGTGTTTGTACACTTAGTTGAAACCGGATCCTTGTTAAAGGTATGTTTTGTACACTATGTTGATCCTGGACCCTTGTTAGTGGTAGTATTTGTACACTTATGTTGATCCTGGACCCTTGTTAATGGCAGTGTTTGTACACTTATGTTGATCCTGGATCCTTGTTAATGGTAGTGTTTGTACACTTATGTTGATCCTGGACCCTTGTTAATGGCAGTGTTTGTACACTTATGTTGATCCTGGATCCTTGTTAATGGCAGTGTTTGTACACTTATGTTGATCCTGGACCCTTGTTAATGGCAGTGTTTGTACACTTATGTTGATCCTGGATCCTTGTTAATGGTAGTGTTTGTACACTTATGTTGATCCTGGACCCTTGTTAATGGCAGTGTTTTTTACCTTATGTTATCCTGGATCCTTGTTAATGGCAGTGTTTGTACACTTATGTTGATCCTGGATCCTTGTTAATGGCAGTGTTTGTACACTTATGTTGATCCTGGACCCTTGTTAATGGCAAGTGTTTTTTACACTTATGTTGATCCTGGATCCTTGTTAATGGCAGTGTTTGTACACTTATTTACCTGGATCCTTGTTTGTGGTAGTGTTTGTACACTTATGTTGATCCTGGATCCTTGTTAATGGTAGTGTTTGTACACTTATGTTGATCCTGGATCCTTGTTAATGGTAGTGTTTGTACACTTATGTTGATCCTGGATCCTTGTTAATGGTAGTGTTTGTACACTTATTTGATCCTGATCCTTTATAAAAGGAGTGTTTGTACACTTATGTTGATCCTGGATCCTTGTTAATGGGAGTTGTTGTACCTTATTTGATCCTGGATCCCTTGTTAATGGTATGTTGACACTTATGTTGATCCTGGAAACCTTGTTAATGGAAGTGTTTGTTACACTTATGTTGAATCCTGGATCCTTGTTAATGGTAGTGTTTGTACACTTATGTTTTATCCTGGAAACCCTTGTTAATGGTAGTGTTTGTACACTTTTTGTTGATCCTGGATCCTTTTTAATGGCAGTGTTTGTACACTATGTTGATCCTGGATCCTTTTAATGGTAGTGTTTGTACACTTATGTTGAACCTGGATCCCCTTTTTAGTGGGGAGTGTTTGTACACTTATGTTGATTCTGGATCCTTGTTAATGGTAGTGGTTTGTAAAACTATGTTTATCCTGGACCCTTGTTAAATGGAAATGTTTGTACACTTATGTTGATCCTGGATCCTTGTTAAAGGATGTTTGTACACTATGTTGATTCTGGGAAACCTTGTTAAGGGTAGTTTGTACACTTATGTTGATCCTGGACCCTTGTTTAAAGGAGTGTTGTACACTTATGTTGATCCTGGATCCTTGTTAATGGTAGTGTTTGTACACTTATGTTTATCCTGGACCTTGTTAAGGTAGTGTTTTACACTTATGTTGATCCTGGATCCTTGTTAATGGGAGTGTTTGTACACTTATGTTTTATCCTGGACCTTGTTAATGGCAGTGTTTGTACACTTAAGTTGATCCTGGATCCTTGTTAATGGTAGTGTTTTTTACACTTATGTTGATCCGGATCCTTGTTTTAAAGGCAGTGTTTGTACACTTAAAGTTGACCTGGACCCTTGTTAGTGGCAGTGTTTGTACACTTACGTTTTATCCCGGATCCTTGTTAATGGTAGTGTTTGTACACTTATGTTGATCCTGGACCCTTGTTAATGGTAGTGTTTGTACACTTATGTTGATCCTGGACCCTTGTTAATGGCAGTGTTTGTACACTTATGTTGATCCTGGATCCTTGTTAATGGCAGTGTTTGTACACTTATGTTGATCCTGGACCCTTGTTAATGGTAGTGTTTGTACACTTATGTTGATCCTGGATCCTTGTTAGTGGCAGTGTTTGTACACTTATGTTGATCCTGGACCCTTGTTAATGGTAGTATTTGTACACTTATGTTGATCCTGGACCCCTTTATAATGGGAGTGTTTGTACACTTATGTTGAAACCTGGATCCTTGTTAATGGCAGTGTTTTGTACACTTATGTTGATCCGGACCCTTGTTAATGGTAGTGTTTGTACACTTATGTTGATCCTGGATCCTTGTTAATGGCAGTGTTTGTACACTTATGTTGATCCTGGATCCTTGTTAGTGGCAGTGTTTGTACACTTATGTTGATCCTGGATCCTTGTTAGTGGCAGTGTTTGTACACTTATGTTGATCCTGGATCCTTGTTATTTGGGAGTTTTGTACACTTATGTTGATCCTGGATCCTTGTTAATGGAGTGTTTGTACACTTATGTTTGATCCTGGATCCTTGTTTTAAAGGTAGTGTTTGTACACTTATGTTGATCCTGGATCCTTTTTAATGGCAGTGTTTGTAAAACTTATGTTGATCCTGGACCCTTTGTTAGGGGGGGGGATGTTTTTACACCCTTATGTTGATCTGGATCCTTGTTAATGGTAGTGTTTGTACACTTATGTTGAATCCTGGACCCTTGTTAATGGTAGTGTTTTTTACACTTAAGTTGATTCCTGGATCCTTGTTAGTGGTTTGGTTTGTACACTTATGTTGATCCTGGGTCCTTGTTTAATGGCAGTGTTTGTACACTTATTTGATCCTGGATCCTTGTTAGTGGCAGTGTTTTTTACACTTATTTGATTCCTGAAACCTTGTTAGTGGTAGTGTTTGTACAAATTATTTGATTTCCCGGATCCTTGTTAATGGCAGTGTTTGTACACTTATGTTGATCCAGGATCCTGTTAGTGGCAGTGTTTGTACACTTAAGTTGATCCTGATCCTTGTTAGTGGAATTGTTTGTACACTTATGTTGATCCTGGATCCTTGTTAGTGGTAGGTTTTGTACACTTATGTTGATTTCCTTGGAATCCTTTTTTAATGGCAGTGTTTGTACACTTAAGTTTGATCCTGGACCCTTGTAATGGTAGTGTTTGTACAAATTAAAAGTTATCCCGGAATCCTTGTTAATGGTAGTGTTTGTACACTTATTGTTGATCCGGACCCTTGTTAGTGGTAGTGTTTGTACACTTATGTTGAACCTGAATCCTTGTTATGCGAATTTGTACACTTATTATTGAAACCGGATCCCTTGTTAATGGTAGTTTTAGTTGTACACTTAGTTGAAACCTGTATTCTTGTTAGTGTAAATGGTTTTGTACACTTAGTGAACTTGGGTCCTTTTAAAGGCAGTGTTTGTACACTTAGTTGATTTCCTAGACCCTTTTTAATGTATGTTTGTACACTTATGTTGATATTGGAGTCATTGTTAGTGGCAGTGTTTTGTACATTTGTAGTGGCCCAAATTTTATACACTCATATTGATATTGGAAGTCTTGTTTTGGCATCGTTGTAACACTGTGTTGATATTGGAGTTGTTAGTGGCCAGGGTTAAACACTCATATTTATATTGGATCATTGTTAGTGGCATTGTTTGTAACACTTATGTGATATTGGGGTTATTTTTAGTGGCAGTGTTTTTAAACTCATATTGAAATTGGATTTATTGTTAGGGCATGTTTGACACTCAGTTTTATGGGAGTCATTGTTAGTGGCAGTGTTTGACACCCAGTATATTAACTGTTATGGTAGTATTTGTAGCATGTTATCCTGGGCCATATCCCCGGACCGTTTTTTGACGTGTTTTCAATCTACTAATACTTTGTAAAAAAATATGGCAGGGGGTGGAAGGGGTGTTTCTGAGGGGTCGGGTTTTGGGTGAAGCCAGAGTTGGGGAAGCAAACAATGGGGGCCAGTGGGGAGGAGTTTTGTGTTTTGGAACAAATAGCAAAAACAGATTACCAACTTCTCACAGAGGGTCACAGGTGTGGGTTGCTTCCACTACCTCACACAGAGAGTCACGGGGTGGTGCTTCTTCCTAATTTTCTTACCACTTCTTATCTTATTTTTTATGATTTGAAAGTTTTATTGAACAGTTCAGTTGTAAATTTTTGTTTGAAGGATTTTTGGGAATTGTATAATACATATATTTGCATTACCAAACTGGAGTAGAGCTACGCTTGTGGTGTTTCGTCTTCCATAGGCAATTTGTCGTATAGTATTAGTGCAAGACAAGCCAAGGGGAATGGAAATCTTCAGCTCAAAATCTTTCACACATCTCTGTGCATCATTAGGAGCTATGTAATGTTGCAAGAGCATCAACAGGTGGAATGAGGAGTATTCTCAGAGTAAGGTAGTGTGGTGATGCCAGTCAGTTTCTCTCCTCTGAGAGGAACTGTTGCTACTCTTGCAACATTGCATAGCTCCTGATACTGCACACAGATGCGTGAAAGATCTTGCATTGTTAAGACTGCCTGTCTGTGATTGTATTGCATAGTACTGATATATATATATTTGTTTATATATTCTCCAATGGTTGAATCAAACACTTCCTCTTGGAACCCATTCCAGCTGTTTTCTACTATAATACTGTTTTTACAATGCCTATTTCTTTTTCAGTGTACGTGAAACTCATGCAATTGCTGAAGCACAGCAGGAAAAGAACTCGCGTCTAAAAGAGGCCTTTGGCATTTCTGAGTTTTTCGTGGAGGGGTCATCCCTAGACCCTAACAGAAAAGCCAAAGAGGAGTTGGCTCGGGCTGCAGCAGCAGAGAAACAGAAGGCAACATCAGAGGGGTTAGGAGCTGAGACTGGCAAGAAGTACGGCTGGGTTCACACCCCATCTCCTTCTCCAGACCGTTCTACGAAGAAGGAGAAAAAGGATAAGAAGAAGAAAAAGAAGAGGAGTAGGGATCGGTAAGGGGTCTTCCATATAGTATTTCCTTACAGCATTTCATTAATATTCTGAAAGCTCATTTATCTTTAAACTGTTCATGAGAAAAAGGGAATATCACTTGACAGTCTTGCAGTAGAAATTTTTTTATATAGGTTTATAAAGAATGCAAAACTGAACATAATTACGAGACATAAAAATTAGTAGTGTGTTTCATTTTCCCCATAAGAAATAATGGAAATCAAATTAATCCATTCCTGACACCCCAGGGTATGAAAAAAATTTTTACCACATGAAATATACATTTTCCTAAACACATAAACAAGGAGACATGCATAATAACTATATTATTGTGTAACGAAACAATAAATGACACTTACCTTTATTAAAGATCTGCCAATGAGTGGTGAGATGGGAGGGGGGGAGATGATGTAGGTTATTTTTTTGGTTATTTTTTTTTTTTTGCATGAGGACTTTAGGTAGAATGTCCTTTTCTGGGGTTATTTTTTTGCATGAGGACTTTAGGTAGAATGTCCTTTTCTGGGGTTACTTCCCTTCTTCTTTTAATGCCACTGGGAACAACTTGACAGTCACTGGATGTCTGTTGCATCAAAAATCTTTCAATAGAGCTCTGTACCTCTCGTTCCTTTAAGATTTTTCTAAAGTTGTTCACAACGTTGTCATTGTACAGGTTGCCAACACAGCTTGCAATAGCTGTGTCAGGGTGGTTTTCATCCATAAAGGTTTGCACTTCAAGCCACTTTTCACACATTTCCTTAATCTTTGAAGAAGGCAACTTCTTCAATTTCTCTCACCTCCTCTGAAGCAGTTTCCTCAGGTCCAGCCTCTTGCTGTTGCAGATGCTCTTGCAGCTCATCGTGGTTAGTTCTTCATCGTCCTCCTCCACCAACTCTTCCACATCTTCCCCACTAACCTCCAACCTCAAGGACTTCCCCAATGCTACAATAGATTCCACAATTGGCATAGGCTCCTGAGGGTTAGCCCCAACCCCTTCAAAATCCCTCTCTTGTACACATTTTTTTATTTTTTTTTTTATTATCACACTGGCCGATTCCCACCAAGGCAGGGTGGCCCGAAAAAGAAAAACTTTCACCATCATTCGCTCCATCACTGTCTTGCCAGAAGGGTGCTTTACACTACAGTTTTTAAACTGCAACATTAACACCCCTCCTTCAGAGTGCAGGCACTGTACTTCCCATCTCCAGGACTCAAGTCCGGCCTGCCGGTTTCCCTGAACCCCTTCATAAATGTTACTTTGCTCACACTCCAACAGCACGTCAAGTATTAAAAACCATTTGTCTCCATTCACTCCTATCAAACACGCTCACGCAAGCCTGCTGGAAGTCCAAGCCCCTCGCACACAAAACCTCCTTTACCCCCTCCCTCCAACCTTTCCTAGGCCGACCCCTACCCCGCCTTCCTTCCACTACAGACTGATACACTCTTGAAGTCATTCTGTTTTGCTCCATTCTCTCTACATGTCCGAACCACCTCAGCAACCCTTCCTCAGCCCTCTGGACAACAGTTTTGGTAATCCCGCACCTCCTCCTAACTTCCAAACTACGAATTCTCTGCATTATATTCACACAACACATTGCCCTCAGACATGACATCTCCACTGCCTCCAGCCTTCTCCTCACTGCAACATTCATCACCCATGCTTCACACCCATATAAGAGCGTTGGTAAAACTATACTCTCATACATTCCCCTCTTTGTCTCCAAGAACAAAGTTCTTTGTCTCCACAGACTCCTCATCAATTCTATGATTCACCTCATCTTTCATAGACCCATCCGCTGACATGTCCACTCCCAAATATCTGAATACATTCACCTCCTCCATACTCTCTCCCTTCAATCTGATATCCAGTCTTTCATCACCTAATCTTTTTGTTATCCTCATAACCTTACTCTTTCCTGTATTCACTTTTAGTTTTCTTCTTTTGCATACCCTACCAAATTCATCCACCAATCTCTGCAACTTCTCTTCAGAATCTCCCAAGAGCACAGTGTCATCAGCAAAGAGCAACTGTGACAACTCCCACTTTATGTGTGATTCTTTATCTTTTAACTCCACGCCTCTTGCCAAGACCCTCGCATTTACTTCTCTTACAACCCCATCTAAAAATATATTAAACAACCACGGTGACATCACACATCCTTGTCTAAGGCCTTCTTTTACTGGGAAATAATTTCCCTCTTTCCTACATACTCTAACTTGAGCCTCACTATCCTCGTAAAAACTCTTCACTGCTTTCAGTAACCTACCTCCTACACCATACACCTGCAACATCTGCCACATTGCCCCCCTATCCACCCTGTCATACGCCTTTTCCAAATCCATAAATGCCACAAAGACCTCTTTAGCCTTATCTAAATACTGTTCACTTATGTGTTTCACTGTAAACACCTGGTCCACACACCCCCTACCTTTCCTAAAGCCTCCTTGTTCATCTGCTATCCTATTCTCCGTCTTACTCTTAATTCTTTCAATAATAACTCTACCATACACTTTACCAGGCATACTCAACTGACTTATTCCCCTATAATTTTCGCACTCTCTTTTGTCCCCTTTGCCTTTATACAGAGGAACTATACATGCTTTCTGCCAATCCCTAGGTACCTTACCTTCTTCCATACATTTATTAAATAATTGCACCAACCACTCCAAAACTATATCCCCACCTGCTTTAATATTTCTATCTTTATCCCATCAATCCCGCTGCCTTACCCCCTTTCATTTTGCCTACTACCTCACGAACTTCCCCCACACTCACAACTGGCTCTTTCTCACTCCTACAAGATGTTATTCCTCCTTGCCCAATACACGAAATCACAGCTTCCCTATCTTCATCAACATTTAACAATTCCTCGAAATATTCGCTCCATCTTCCCAATACCTCTAACTCTCCATTTAATAACTCTCCTCTCCTATTTTTAACTGACAAATCCATTTTTTCTCTAGGCTTCCTTAACTTGTTAATCTCACTGCAAAACTTTTTCTTATTTTCAACAAAATTTGTTGATAACATCTCACCCACTCTCTCATTTGCTCTCTTTTTACATTGCTTCACCACTCTCTTAACCTCTCTCTTTTTCTCCATATACTCTTCCCTCCTTGCATCACTTCTACTTTGTAAAAACTTCTCATATGCTAACTTTTTCTCCCTTACTACTCTCTTTACATCATCATTCCACCAATCGCTCCTCTTCCCTCCCGCACCCACCTTCCTGTAACCACAAACTTCTGCTGAACACTCCAACACTACATTTTTAAACCTACCCCATACCTCTTCGACCCCATTGCCTATGCTCTCATTAGCCCATCTATCCTCCAATAGCTGTTTATATCTTACCCTAACTGCCTCCTCTTTTAGTTTATAAACCTTCACCTCTCTCTTCCCTGATGCTTCTATTCTCCTTGTTTCCCATCTACCTTTTACTCTCAGTGTAGCTACAACTAGAAAGTGATCTGATATATCTGTGGCCCCTCTATAAACATATACATCCTGAAGTCTACTCAACAGTCTTTTATCTACCAATACATAATCCAATAAACTACTGTCATTTTGCCCTACATCATATCTTGTATACTTATACACATTGTGGCCACTATTTCCTCCAAGCAGAGTTCAAGGTTCTCTTAGTCACTCCCTCCCAAGACTTACCTATAAGGTTTACACAACTGAGGATACTAAAGTGATCTTTTCAAAACTCTCTTATTCAAATTCAAAGTTTATTCTCTATAAGGATTACAATGCTGAGTTTACAGAAATTTGGTTATTGTGTGGTTTACATGTATTAAAATAGTGATTACAGAGTGTACCACTAGAACGCTTAGCATGGCTAGGCATTTCGGGCAGACTTAGTTTTATTCTTAATTGTAAAATATTACAAATTATGAGGTAAGTTGGTATTATGGCTAAGTGACTAAATACTAGTTTGTGAGTTTAGCAATGTGAATGCTTTTGTTTTGGCACAGTACATAGTTTCAGTATTGGAGTATCACAGGATTCATTATTTTAAGATTGAGATTAATATTTCTGTTTATGGTCAAATGAGTGAGTGAGTGTAAGTGTGAACCACCAGGTGGTATTCGTGTAGTTAGTTGACGGGGTGTATCAGGGAGATAATTTGTTTTCTAATGGTAGTTTTGAAGGTGGTGAATGTGTCTGCAGTTCTAGAGTTCTCAGGTAGGGTATTTCAGATTTTAGGGCCTTTGACATACATTGAATTTTTGTAAAGGTTTAGTCGGACACGGGGAATGTCGTAGAGAAGTTTGTGTCTGGTGTTATGCCTGTGGGTTCTGTCACAACTATCAAGAAAGCATTTTAGGTCAAGGTTGATATTAGAGTTTAAGGCCCTGTAGATGTAGATCGCACAGTAGTAAGTGTGGATGTACTGAACAGGGAGTAAGTTTAGGTCTATGAAGAGTGGGGGGGGGTGTTGCCAGGGATGGGATTTAGTGATTATTCTTACTGCAGCTTTTTGTTGGGTTATTATTGGCTTTAGGTGTGTTGCTGCAGTTGATCCCCAAGCACAAATAGCATAGGTGAGGTATGGATAAATAAGTGAGTGTATAGTGTGAGAAGGGCATTTTGCGGCACGTAGTATCGTATCTTGGAGAGGATCCCAACCGTTTTGGATACTTTTTGGTTATATGCTGGATATGGGTGCTGAAATTCAGGTTGTTGTCAAGGTATAAGCCTTGGAATTTGCCCCCATTATTTCTGGTAATTAGAGTGTTGTCAATCTTAATGTTAATTTGTGCATCTCCTACTCTACTACCAAACATATATATAGTAGGTTTTGTCAGTGTTAAGCGTAAGTTTATTGGCTGTCATCCAAGTCGATATTTTGATCAGCTCCTCATTCACAATGGTGTTGAGGGTGGCAAGTTTAGGGTGAGAGATGACATAAGTCGTGTCGTCAGCAAAGAGAATGGGTTTCAGGTGTTGGGATACGTTTGGAAGGTCATTGATGTATATGAGGAAGAGCAGGGG